TATCTTCACTGTTTACCAACTTTCTGACGTTTGCGAATAAACCAAACCTCACTTATGCTATTCTATACATTGTCTTCATCATTGTATACATTTTATTCATTGTATTCGCAATGTATACATTGTATTCATTGTATACGCATTGTATACACCGAGACGTAGACAATTAATGTATACGCGTAAACGTACATCACTGCCTATTGGTGCAAAATAATACTTTGTTAGATTGTGAAGTCCGCCCTAAATATGTCATCCTTAACCATCATTATCGGATAATGATCCAAAACATGGTGAAGCTTCCTTAAGCTAAATATGAACAGTATGCATTTATTTTTTACAACAGAGATTCTGTTAAAGATTAAAAATCACTGGTCTGCAACAAAATCCTCCTTAAAATAACTATGTCACAAATATGATGATTTTGATGCTCTCATTTCCTTCACTTTCCTTCTTTTGGCGGATTTTGCCCATTATTTTCCTATTTTTTTATATATATATATAATTAGCAACATCCTCACATACTACTGTAAGTTAATTCAATTTAAATTCAGCTTACACTATTGTTGCTACTGTTATTAATGTAATTGCAGCTCCTGATGATGATGGCAGTCCATTGAAAGCTAGAGAGAATAAAAAAAGTATAAAGAGTCCTCTTTGCTTAAATTTTTGTCGAAGTACCCAACATAAGGCGGAAGCTTTAATTTTTCACCTAACTGGTCTAGACGACAATGACCACGTCTCAAGTTATATATATATATAATCTGTGTACTTAATGAAGCTTCGACGACATATCTTCTGTGAATTAAATAAAACAGCACAGAAGAAGCTTTAGAAGCATTAATAGGTTTTTATTGCCTGAGTAGGTGCAAATAGAGCCCTCGTTAATTTCCTTAATTGCATTCTGGAGATTGTCAGGGTGAAAAAAGTAAAGCTGTTAAGTGTCATCCGCATATGTGAACGTAAATTTTGAATAGGCTTAGCTATATCAGCTACATAAATTAAAAATAACAAAGGACCTTAAATTATGCCTTGAGGCACATCAGAAGTAATAAGGTGCTCATTTGACAAAGCTCCAGAAACTGAGAGCCGCTGAGACCGGCAGGTTAGGTATGATTTGAAAAATTGCACTGCTGTTTCATCAAAACCATAAAACTTGAGCTTCGCACACATTAGTCAGTGATAATCTATCCAAGGCCTTAGAGAAATCCAGTGATACTAAGGCGACACACATGCTTTAATAATAATAATGTCGTCTACTAAATTAAGAAGAGTAGTTGTAGTATTTGTATGATTTTCTAATCCCTGACTGATTGACTGATAGAATCTGACTCGAGTCCAAAAAATCTAATATCTGCAAATAAGTGTTTTTCTCAGAGCTTTGCAACGCAGCTAAGAAAGATGCAAACTCCCCAACACAATTCAAAAACCATAACCTCAAATCATAAGGCACTCATAACAAAACAAGGTCTTGTGCGATCTGCGTATGTCAGAAACTACGAGACCCGCTGAAATCCTGGGTACTGCTTTGACCATCCGAAACCAGTTTTCAAACCAAAAGTTCGTTTGCTGAAACAGCGGACCGATAATCCCCAACTAGGTTTTACCCTTGCTTGTATGTACATGTTTTCTCCACTCGGCATGCTCATTGGGTTCTAACTTGGTGCTAATGTGATGCTAGAACATTACTGTTGTTTTCGTTCTTTGCTCGTAGCTCCGCCGCCATTGGATCGATTTTCAAAACCCACATCTCCTGAAACTAGTTTCTACGCATCACTCACACCCCATATCAAGACTGAAGGACAAATTAGTAACACTCAGTTTGCCCTCAGAAACGGGGTAGTAACTCGAGAAGCTATTTTCTCCCTAAACAATCTTAGGCAGCGTTGTAAAGACACTAATGTCGGCATATTGCGAGTATGCATGCTTCATCGAGCAGCTTTTGCGTGCGTGTTATAGCCGAAGCTTATTAAAATACTTGCACAAACCGATATCAATGAACGTGATCTGTGCATCATCGTCCACTTGTACTGGATTCAAACAGCGGAGTTCAGAATAGATGGAGTCACGTTAGAGGAGGTCGCTATAACAAAAGGTATTATGCAAGGTTGCGTTTCTAGCATCCGCTCTTAAGCAGTGTTCAAAGAGGCGCTCGAGAATGCAAAAGGTGGTGTTGAAATCAATGGTACATCCATTTTGCTGATGACACGGTGATATTAGCCAATAACCTCGCAACCCTTCAGAGCACCATGAATTCTATCGTTGAACACATCGCACACTTCGGTCTGCACATGTTTACAAAAAAAAATTAGTCATCTTATCCAAAATACCAATAAAGGTAGCTCTTCGACTAAACATCTTAGTACAATAGGTGTCATCCGTGGAATATTTCGGAGTCTACCGACTGGCTCCTTGTTTTTCATAGTTTTCTACTGTTCTGTGTTATTGCTCTATTTTGAGGTCATGAGTATGTGTTTACACCAAATTGTTCATGCTTTTGATTTATATCATATGTTTTATCAACCTGAAATTTCCTACAATTCAAAAAGAAAACATAACTTGATAATACGAGAGCGCTGTAACAGACACGGAAATCTATAAATCTACAGAATTTAGGAAGGAGGGAAAATACTATGAAAATCAATACACTTGCAGGACGCCCTTATGGCCTCCTTTAATTTCATAGTGTTGTCTCTTCTTCAGAAAGGCTAGACTTCCACCGTTTAGATTCAGCGTCAGGGCTCTCCTATAGTGAGGCTATGCTTTCTTTTTGAATATTAGGAAATTTCAGGCCGATATAACAGATGATAAAATCAAAAGCATGAACAATTTGACGCCAATAGATACTTGTAACATAACCTCAAAATAGAACAATGACACGGAACAGTAGAAAACTATGAAAATCAAGAAGGTTAAAAGGGCGTCTCTTACAATTGTACGATTGACGATACGGCCCTTAGTCATTGAAAACAGTGATCCCAAAAATAAAATACTTTAGCGGATCAAACAAACAAGGATAGTATTACTTGCTATGAAACAGCTTTTATTAGCCGAGATCTAAGTCTACAACTCCGTATCTGCCTGCAGAGATGCTACACCTCTTACCTGTGCTTTTGTATGACGTGGATAGCTAGATAAACGGATAGATGCCTTCGAGATGTCTGTATCGAAGGACATGATATCATAGGTTGACACATTAGCAAAAAAGGACGTGCTTAGACGGATGGATAAAAATAAAGAACTCTAAACAGTCATCAAGAAACGGAAGCTTCAGTACATCGATCACGTTAGGAAGAGTGAACGTTATAACATCCTCCGCCTTATCATAAAGGACAAGACAGTGGATGAAAAATCGGTGGAAAGACCGTGGTACTCATGGACTTAAGACCTGCGACATGAGTACGGTGGAAAAAATTTTCCGAGCTGCAGTCATATAACATCCAAAACAGGGAGAGAAAGGAACGGAACATCGCATTTACGCTAATAAGTCATAACGACCATGGACGGTATCTCTACATTATACGAGTATTATCATATGGTATTATAAAATATGTGAAGCTTAGCAGAAGGGAATTCCTGCTGCCTCTGCATGGAGCACAGTGTATCTCTTCTCAGATTAGACCAGCTAAAATTATCATTAATCCAAAAGCGTAATGGTAGATGCGACCCTCCTAGTGAAAACTATGGAGTCTGATTAGCTAGTTCAACATGCATAATAGTATTTGCTCTTGAAGATTGGCAGTAAAATGTGCCAAGAACTAGATAAACATACATTCAAAGGGATCCCGTTGTACTACTTCCTCCTAACAGTTTGGCTGGTCCATCTAATAAATGGCGAAGAAATATTAAATAATTATCAAATCCATCAAGCCCAGTCGTTATGTGGGTATATGTTTAGCACTTATCTTTAACGAACAATTAATGATTCAGCGGAAATTTAAATGAGTTAATAAGTTTCGTTATGTGGCATGATGCTACAGAAAGTCTTACCTGTCGAGAACGTCGTTAGCATGGAAATACTCCTTGTGTTATGAAGCAGTTAAGAGCGTGTATGCATCACTGACACAAACGCTAGTTTACTTATGGACATAAATGAGGAATCAAAATTATGCGAATCCATATGCACTTAACCAATATGACGTAAGCTTGTAATTATTTAAACAGAAATATGGAAGTGTATAAAACCGCATGGTTATCATGTAAAAACCTATAAAACGCCAAAAAAACCTATAAGATGTCGTCTTGCAAACTAGGTAGTTTTTAGGGCGCAAATAGTCATTCCACGTTTGCTCACTAGGATCGTCGTGAGGAATCACTCAACTAAGCTGCACGCATTATTAGTTGCATATGTTTTGTGAGGTCAAATAATGGTGCCTGACTGTAGCCTTTATCTCTGAGAAGAAAGTTGATTGAATAGCAAGATCGTATCTGGATGATTATGTGTATTTGTCTGCATGAGTATAAAATCTGTGATATTTGTTTGCTATGTGAGAAAATCATTACTGAATATGCTGCCAATGAAGTATATCTATTGGCTGTGCCCGACGGGTTATTTTTGTTGTGCTTTCTGAAGAGAGCTTATGTTTAAAGTTATAAATTACGAAAAACTGGGGAGAATTACGGGAAATCATCACCGCGCCTGCGTTGTGTGTAATTACTGTTAGCATATATATGGCTTGTAATTCGGCAGTGTACAGTGAATACAATTATTTCTTGTGCCTCTCATTTTCCAAATTCAGCAAATTTGTATATGTAATTTCCAGAATGGATAAGAAAAAGTGGATGCGTAACTAATTCTTAGCTGTGAATCTCAAGTAAGAAGTAAGAATTTAATGGAATTATCAGCAACACATATTATTAGCTCACAAATCCTCTCTATGCAATGCCATCTCTGAAGCAGATTTTACATCAGATCAGAGCCAAAAATTGTTAACTGAATCTCAATTAAGTGTATGTGAGACAAGACCCCAATATACTCGTAATTATCATCAACAAATACAACTTACAGCTTAGACCTCCAGTAATGCCATCTCAGAAGCAGATTTAACCCATTAACGCCCGCTGTACTCAATCGAGTACACTCGTGTTTGTTCCTACCAGAGCCATCTCCGAGTCAACCACAGAAGTACTGCCTTTTATAAACATTTGTAGATGGTACATGCGACAGGGCGCAAGAGTCATTTTTCATAAATTCTGTGAGTGTGTCGTTGTTTACAGTAATAGAAGTTATTGCTTATTTGATCTAAGGTAAGTTAGGATTTTACATAATTTTTCCTCATTGAGGTGACCATCTAATAAACATAATTTTTTTATATTATGTATATGTACAGGTTGTCTGTTTGATTTGCCGGGCATAAATTATTTTAACTGATTTGATGTAATTAGAATGTATGTTCAAGTTTGCAATGCCATCTCTGAAGCAGATTTTACATCAGATCAGAGCCAAAAATTGTTAACTGAATCTCAATTAAGTGTATGTGAGACAAGACCCCAATATACTCGTAATTATCACCAACAAATACAACTTACAGCTTAGACCTCCAGTAATGCCATCTCAGTAGCAGATTTAACCCATTAACGCCCGCTGTACTCAATCGAGTACACTCGTGTTTGTTCCTACCAGAGCCATCTCCGAGTCAACCACAGAAGTACTGCCTTTTATAAACATTTGTAGATGGTACATGCGACAGGGCGCAAGAGTCATTTTTCATAAATTCTGTGAGTGTGTCGTTGTTTACAGTAATAGAAGTTATTGCTTATTTGATCTAAGGTAAGTTAGGATTTTACATAATTTTTCCTTATTGAGGTGACCATCTAATAAACATAATCTTTTTATATTATGTATATGTACAGGTTGTCTGTTTGATTTGCCGGGCATAAATTATTTTAACTGATTTGATGTAATTAGAATGTATGTTCAAGTTTGACTGTACCCAAATGAGTACACTGGACAAATTCGTTATCAGTCTACTAATACTATTTTTTTTTGTTTTAGATCTGTATATACCGTTTTTTGATGATCCTGTTAAAACATACGAGTATTACAATTTTCTGCCTGATGCTCGAGATGATTTAAAAGATAACGATGATGTTGTGGTCTTGCTTACAGACGCGCGTTATTTGACTGACGAGGAGAAATTGGACGAAAAGCAACCGTTGGCAAATGGAATGCCACAAGATGTTTCTGGTCGTTTATAGCTGTTTCGCCAAAGTCCACCTAATGACGAGTTCTGAAGCAGCGACGAAGAGCATTTGAGTGAAGTGCGAACACGTATACAAATACCTAAATGACTTGGACTGGGAGAAATGCAATCCTGAATATTCCATTTGGTCTGAGCCGCCACCATTATGCGAAATGCCAATAGGGATAAACTAGTGGAAGAGATAAAGGATTTAAATCCAGTACAACTATTTGAACTTTTCTTTGATGATACGGTTTTGCGGAATATTGTCGCTCAGTCCATGTTATATGCATCTCAAAATACTCGACACCAAAGAAGAAATTAAATCCTTCATAAATTCGGACATTTTCCTGCGAAGCTAGAGAATCAATTACGATGTACAGTATGCCATTCAAGGGTTCGTCAACACTACGTATGGAACGTGCCTGCTTGAAGTTACATCATACAAAATAAACGGTTTCGCCCATTGTACTCAAATGAGTACAGATATTTTTTTGGTAAAAATAATAAAATATATATGGTTTTATGATCTTCAGTTTTTATTTTAGTCCTAATAACCTATCTTATATGCATAATATCCGTTTTCGATGTTCAAGTTTAATTTGGGCGTTAATGGGTTAACATCACATCAGAGCCAAAGATTGGTAACAAGACCTAGATAAAAATATCTCAGCCCTTAGTTTTTTATTACAGTATTTTCTTTAACTTGTCCTGTTTGTTAGTATCTATGTGAGGACAAAATCTTGGAACTGAATTTTGAACCAACCGAGCAATAAATTTTTATAAACGCTTGGTTCGCGTAACAATACAAAATGAATTAAATGCCACCATTTTGGATCTAATATGGCGGATGCTACAAAATGGCGATTTATCGTTTCCATGATATGGATATCAAATGGAAGAGCTTGATGAGATAAACACAATAAGAAAAATGGCGATATTCTAAATCCAACATAGTGGCCGTCGCAAAACGGTGACTTATACTTTCCATAGTCACCCCTATGATATGGGTATCAAATGAAATGGATCGATGAGAAAAACACAGCGATCAAGTGACGTCATTTTGAATCCAATAAGGCGGCAGCTGCACTTTGTAATATATTGACGCTAGCCCATGGAGTTTCATTCTTCTTGACAACTAATCCGGTCCTAGGCTCTGATAATTCAGTTAATCGACTATTATGTAAAGAAAATATTCATATATAATTATATCAAATTTCAGCTTTTTGAAATTACATACCACGTTAGAATATAAGGATGCTTTATTCCTCTGATCAGTTGGGCAAGAATATCCGTGAATCTCACATATTTACGTAATATATGATTTATATAGATCGAAATCGCATTATAGAGGGTGACTTGTAATGTCACGAATTCCTGTTAAGGGGTGATAGATTAGGTCAAAAGCAACCGATTTTGTAGTATCATGTCTTATCCAAAAGTTAACCGTTTTTGAGTTATTTTAATTTTAAGTTTTTTATTTTTTATTCCGATTTCAGACGGTTAAAATTGAAATACAAAAAAACTGCATACTTGATTTTGAGTTTTTTATTATCGTCGCATAGCAGACATTCCAATAGTTCATAATAAGTCATAAAATGCTGAAAAGCTACAAACATTTTAGAATTACGCTTTTTAAATGTATCATTTTCTTTTTTTTTTTTACTAACTTATTCGATAAAAAATGCAATTTTCTGTAAAAAATCTCCTGGTAATGAAATGTGAGAATTATGTAAATAATATCTCTGTCTAACAAGCTTTCGTTTGAGTATTAAGCGTTCAATTATGTGAAGTACATGCAGAGAAACAACAATGACACCCACAGAGGCTGGATTTTTAAGGAATTTGTATTACCTGTTTGAACAAGTCGTTACTGTCCTCAAAGGACTCGCATGCCATGATTGTTTTATGGCATCGGCTCGACGAGGAAGCGAGCGAGAAGAGCTGACTTAGTGGAGGAGTGAGAGGGAGAGAGCTGTTATTATTCATCATTGTAGTTACGCCATCGCCGCACGCCGAGTGAGAATTAGGTTTAGTTGGTATCAACTACTGCGTACGCGCAGACGTTTTACGCACGATTATTATTTTCGAGTTTCCCAGTTCCTTTCGAGTGGTTTCTTTATCATTGCAGACGCAGAAGATCCGCCAGGACATCGCCATAGCGAGCACGGGCAAAGTTTTACAAATGAAGAATACGCAGACATAATGTTCTGTTATGGACTTTGTAACGGCGATTCTGTAGCTGCCGGCCGTGAATATCGGCAACGTTTCCAGAATCGCGGAACACCTCATGTTACTGTGGTTGACTCTGTGTATCGGCGCATCCACCAAACCGGACGTGTTCAAAGGCAACATAGTGATGCTGGTCGACCCCGAGTCTATCCTCCTGAAGATGAAGAGGAAATCCTGCGTGTATTTCAGGAAGACCCTACTACGTCTACGCGCATTGTGGCTGCTCAGTTGGGTATATCACAATACAAAGTATGGTTTACTGTGCATACTGCAAGATTATACCCTTATCACTACACGCCTGTGCATGTGATTGAAGAGGGCGATCCTGCAAGACGATTAGATTTCTGCAGGTACATGTTACATGCAGATACAGAAGATCCAGATTATTTTAAGAAAATTCTGTGGACCGATGAATCGAAGTTTGATAAGGACGGGATCACTAACTACCATAATGTTCATTACTGGGGTGATAAAGAAGCTTTAAACCCCCGAAAAATAAGACCGACGGGGTCTCAGAGCCGGTTTTCAGTCAATGTGTGGATGGGCATCATTGACGGATATTTAATTGGACCTCATTTTCTGACCGCCAATTTAAATGGAGAAGTGTATCAAGAGTTCTTGAAAAATCACTTGTTTCCATTACCAAAAGTGAATTCCGTAAGAGAATGCGGGCGTGTGTTCGAAACAGGGGATTATAATTTGAGCAGAATCTGTAAAATACTAAAGGAAATGTGATTAAATAAAACTGTAATTAAAATAAAAGCCTTTTATTTATCCTACGTAATTATCGTTCGTACAACTTTACTCATCTTTTTTTAATTTTATGTCTTTGTACTTGAGTTAGTTGTAACTTTTATACCTCAAATGAAAGCTTGTTAGATAGAGAAATTGTTTACATAATTTTCACACTTCATTACTAGCAGATTTTCTACAGAAAATTGCATTTTTTATCGAATAAGATAGTAAAAAAATAAGAAAATCATACATTTCAAATGCGTAATTTTAAAGCTTTTGAAAGTTTTCAACATTTTATTACTTATTATGAACTACTGGAATGTCCGCTATGCGACGATAATAAAAAACTTAAAATGAAACATGTAGTTTTTTTGTATTTCAAATTTAACCGTGTGAAATCGAAAAAAAAATAAAATTCAAATAACTCAAAAACGGTTAACTTCTGGATTCCTATATATCCAATAATTATATCATACTATGGGGTTTTGGTAATTACCTACTGAGATGTATGGTGTTTTGTCCAGAAAAACCGTCCACTTCGGCAACCCCTCAATCCGCCATTTTGAAATTTGGAGTACTGAATTTCATACAAAAAAAAACTTACACACCTCAGCTTTTATTTTATTTATTACGTTTACGAATTCTAGTTTTTGCTCTTACAGGTACTTTTGGAGGATGTCAACCTGCAAACTCGGATGCATAAGTACTTCCCACATGACGGTGCACCTGCGCAATATCATAATCGTGTGCGTAACTATTTGGACACCTGGAGTAACAATCGTTGGATCGGTCGTGATGGGCCTATATCTTGGCCTCCTAGATCACCAGATATGACACCGATGGACTTCTTTCTATGGGGCTACGTTAAGCAAGAGGTTTACAGATATCCACCATCTACCCCGGAAAATATGAAGGAAAGGATTAAGGATGCTTTTCTGAACATAAGGGAACACATGCTCAGGGATGTGCAACGATCATTTATCCAAAGACGATGGGTGTGTATTCAACATGGTGGAGATATTTTCGAGCAGTTTTTGTAGAGTAGTGATAGTTGTTTGTTTATGTTGTTGTTTTTCTCTTTTACGCTTGAAGCTGATTTATATTGTTCTGATTGTTATTAGTTTTTATGTCAAATCTGCACTCTTAGTGGCAATATGGATCTAGCCCACTGTTTGTCTTTTGTTTCCATGGATGATGTGATTTTTTCCTTAATTTTGGTGTGTTGTTCTATTAAAGCTTAGTAACTCAAAATCTAGTGAGGGTGATGCATTTGAAATTTTTGAGAAAAAGTACAGTTCGCGTTTATGACCACCCTGTATGAGCAAAAATTAAAATTCGAAAAAGTAGCAAATAAAGTATGTGTCAGTTTTTTTTTATACAAAATTCAGCATTCCAAATTTCAAAATGGCGGCTTGAGGGTTTGCCGAAGTGGACGGTTTTTCTGGACAAAACGACTTACATCTCAGTAGCTAATTACCAAAATCCCATAGTATGTTGTATCAATCTTCTTCTTTTGAATTGGCTTATCCAAATATGCAATAAAATTTGAGGTATTCCATTTAAAAAATCACAACTTTGATATGTAGGTCAAAATTGGGACACCCTGTATAATTGCTAATATTTTAGAAATTTGCCCTCAAATATCATATATAACATGCCTTAGGTATATTTTCCCAAAATGTATTTGTTTATGAGTAATATTCCGTCCACACATGGATGGGCCACCCTGTATATATATATATATATAAAGCAATAACTAGTTAGTATTCGACATAAAAACAAAAAAGTAAAAACAAAATAAAAAATACACCTTCAAACACAAGCTTTTATTTAGCAGTTAAGATGGAACGAAAGTTCTGAAAATATTTTTTTCGCCTGGAAATATGCCGTTTTATACTTCTTAACATCTAAATAACATTGAAGCCCCTTTATGTCAAGCTTTCAAATGAAAGCGTGTTATGTTTTAACAGCCTCAGAAAAAGTGTGTAATACGCTCTTGCTCGACTTTTATTTGGAAACTTGAGACGAAGGAGAATCAAATATCGTTTATTTTATTTAACCCAGCTTCCATCAATTGGCTGTGTACCTACCTACTCTGCTCACAAACTTCAAAACGATTAGGCAAGTTTTTGGAGCCCATTCAAATTGGATTTACGTACACAAACAAGGAATGCTGTTCAAATGTTCTGAGTATCTTCAACCATTTTTACAGTTTACTACAGCAAGTTGCACTGAAAAATGGTATAATTCATTTTCAAATCGTCAATACTTGCTCCTCAAATTATATCTGCTAAATACATCTATAGAACCCAGCCTGCAACTAGCTTAAAAAATTGCATATGTAGGTACAGAGGTGTATTGGAATGTTTACCTCTGACTCCAGAAGCAGTTTGGCTGAGCTTAGGAGCACAATGTATCTGTTTAGTGACAGTGTCTTATTAGGCGACTCATATTTCTTAATTAATATAGGTAGGTGATCTATAAATCGTAACTTCACTTAATTATGAATAATTTGGTTTGCATTTGTACAGGCTGGCTATTTCAAA